AAAAAAATAAGTGTACATCATAATGGAATGGTTTGTAAGGGTAAACCTGATAACCTTTCTAGATAAATATCATAACTCCTGTATCGCAACCTATTTATACCCACCCTTTACATTAATAGCCAAACTAATAGTTACATCCTAACTTCTATACACTTCCAAGCCAAGTTCCTATATTTCCCCTAAAGCCAATAAAACTACCAACTAGGCATTGTGAGACCTCCATCTCTAATGCTAAACGGTCTGTTACAGACTTAACAGGGAGAAATATATGAACTGTCCTCTGTTCTGTGTCAGTTTCATTGTTGTGTTTCTCCACACTAACCCTACATTATAAATATATATACAAATCAGCTGTTCTACACCCTGGCTTTCAAGCCATGAAGCACTGCTAATGCCCGTGCGGCATGCTCAACCTAACATGTGGTAACTCTACCCATGGACCTATACCGGGTCTCTCAGGTCATCCGACCCTAATTACAAACGTGGCAGTTAACCCATCCTTACCTGGACATGGTTTTTGTCAGGCAAGCTGAGCTGCCAATGAAAATACGCGTACTATAAATTTACATCACAACAGCATGTTCCAATATGGCTGCCTACGAGCGAAAATACGACCTACAAAACGACAGAAGTGCTATATCTACCCTATAACAGCTCAAGTTATCATATAATCTGCTCTTATCAACTCTACAGCTGGTATTTATAACAAACACCCGTATTATAGCTATCCTAATGTCATTTATACTTAAAACTAGCTACTCGATATATCTAGTCACTAACCCGTCTCGCCTACATGCCTCCTCCCAGTCAATTCTTACTACCTGGTATAGAATTGACTCATTTAAATACTCACCAACTTTATACACCTATCTGGTGAGTGCATATATTATCTATTAAGTATATATATCCAAAAATTATAGCAAAAATAAATTATGGCAACATTTCTTAACTATACAGAGTATTATATAACATTATAAATTATCAATGGCTCCAACAATCTATATAAATAATAGGCCACATTATTTATAGGCGAATATTATCTTTATACAAATAATGTAAAATTGAAAAAGGCACGATCCCGCGACACGTATAATTAACAGCACTATAATTAGTAAAGAAAAATCCTTTGATGTACACTCAATCAACAATTATTAAATTTGTAAATAATATCATTATCATTAATATGTCAAAATTACCCCTAAGAACATCAACTATCACACTGATGGATGAGGTGGAGGTAGTCCACGAGGCTGGTCTCCACCATCAAGCCTCGCTCACTGGCTCGCCTCTCTCTGTTGGTCCTCTGTATCTTCCGTACCACCTGTAGAGCAAGCGCCCATAGCGTTGACGGTTTACGCTGCCCCATAGGGATGTGTCCACCCCCTGGTTGCTGTCGTTGAAGGGACGTCAGTCGCTTCCACCTTTGTTACCTGGGCTGGCAAATCCTCGACACTTTCCTTTCCCTGATGGAGTCCTGGAGGGGGTGTTGCTCCCCTGGGATTTAGGTAGAACCTGTTCCCCACCATTACCATTCTGGGTGTCTTCCCTTTGATGCTCTATCCGACTATGCCTGGTAGCCCTCGTCCTGAGTGCATACCTCCGCCCACACCTCACACACTGCCACAGGGACGCCAGGGCAGGTGGAATTTTGTCCAGTGGTCCACGTAGGCCATCTCCCTGGTGAATTGCTTTTTCTCTGGGCACCCACTCACCACACAGCGGTCCCCTTTCTGCCATTCCTCCTGTTTGAGGAATGCAGACATTTCCTCTTCTTCCACCTTAAGTTGGATATCCATGTCTAAAATAAAAATATTCCTTTATTGTTTTTACCCTGCACCCTTTCTGGGCATCTCCCCCAAACAATACATTATAACAATACCTCTATGACATTATAACTTGCCGTACGAATAATATTTACTTATACTGGAACATTTACCAGATATTTACATTTTGTACACATTCCACCCAATTTATAAAGGTGTGATGAGAGAGGTCCTTTCAATTCAAAACAGGAAAAAAATATTACGCCCGCTTAAGCTCATATCTTATTTTGTGCATACATGTCCATGCATGGCCCCACTTGTCCTAACTACGGTGAAAATATATCCCTGTGCTTAACAACCCTTCCCGTTCGTGTTCTTTTTGGAGATTCCTTTCTATGTATTTTAGGATGTACCTCCTTGCCTTGTAGGTCAATTCTACCGTATTCATGGGTGTCTTGTTCAAGCTCATTCCTAATTGAGTCGTCCAACTCTTCCCCACATTCCCCTCCTCCAGACTCAATTTCGTCTGGAGTCAACCAATTTGTTGGCTGGTTCTGACCCACGTACTGTTTTAAGTGATCTATGTGCATATTGATTGGTTTGGTGTCCTTTGATTTCTGTATTTTATATACTAACTCTGATATTATCTCTGTTACTAGATATGGACCTGTTCAACCAAGTTCCAGTTTCTGGTTTGCAGATGGAGGGTACCACCTCCATACCCAGGAGCCCTGTACAAATACTTTTTCTTTTGTCTTTTCATCATAGTAGCTCTTTTGTCGTCTGGCTGCACTACCCAAGTTTTGATTTGCTAATTCAAATGCACTAGTCATTGCCTCCTGAAACCATCGGACATAGGCCACTCGACAACCTTGTCCTTGCCTACCAGGTGGACTTCCCAGCATCAGGTCTATTGGGAGCGTTATTTCCCTGCCTAACATAACCAAGTTTGGTGTACATCCTGTACTCTTGTGCACTGTGGCACGGTAAGCTAAGGTGATATAGGGTAAACGATCATCCCAGTCATCTTTATTCTGGTTAGCAAATGTTGCTAACATTTTCTTCATAGTCCTATTGAAACGTTCTACTAACCCATCTGACTGAGGATGATATGGAGTTGTTCTAGATTTATGGATCCCCAGTTTCTGACATACCCGTTTAAACAGTTCTGACTCGAATTCCATCCCTTGGTCACTATGTATGAACTCTGGACAGCCAAAGCGACAAAACACTTCGGTAACCAGCTTATCTGCAACGGTTAGTGCGGTATGATTTGGAACTGCAAAAGCCTCCACCCATTTGCTAAAATAGTCACTGACCACTATAACATATGAATTCCCACTATTTGACACTGGTAACCCTCCAAATATATCCACCGCTATAAATTGCATTGGTGCCAGCGGTCTGATTTGTCTCAAAGGAGATTTAGTGGACCCTGGTCCTGGTTTTGTCTGTTCACAAAGATCACAGTTCCTACACCGTCTAACCACATCTGAAGTCATACCAGGCCAGAAAAATCTACGTTTCACTGCCTCTGTTGTCCTGTCTCTACCAAAATGACCTGCTATTCTTTTTACATGTAGATCTTCAAATATCATCTGTCTTAACTGTTCTGGTACCACCATTCTAGCTCTCTCTGTCACTTCAGGTGATGTTCCCTTTATCATTAACACCCCATCTTGAATACTGAGATCACCCCACATCCCTTTCAGAGCTCTAGCCCCACTATTCCACCCAATCATTTCATCTTTCCCTGGGGNTCATTGGTGCTAGCGGTCTGATCTGTTTCAAAGGAGATTTAGTGGACCCTGGTCCTGGTTTTGTCTGTTCACAAAGATCACAGTTCCTACACCATCTACCCACATCTGAAGTCATACCAGGCCAGAAAAATCTACGTTTTACTGCCTCTGTTGTCCTGTCTCTACCAAAATGATCTGCTTACTCCTTACTGGCGCTATGCTCACGTCAGAGCTTTGCATCTGTATTAATTCCACCCTTGAATACTGTCCCATCCAGTTAGGTACAACCCCTTCCCCTTCTATGGCAATAGTATCAGGTTCCCCCAGTACTGGACAAATGGTTTCCGGTTTATGGTTTTCTACTAACTGAGCAGGATCTACACAGTCTGGACATTCTTCCTTTTTGCATTTTCTTATACGTCTCCGAGAAAGTCCATCAGCATTTCCATGCTTTGCCCCTGGCCTGGACTCTATTTCAAAATCAAATGTTTCTAGCTCGGTTATCCACCTAGCTAACATTCCCTCTGGTTCTTTGAAGTTTCTAAGCCATACTAGAGATGCGTGATCGGTGCGGATTAAGAATTTCCTCCCCGTGGTGTAGTACTTAAAGTGCTTGACAAAAGTTACTACAGCCAACAACTCCCTTTTTGTTGTACAATAGTTCCGCTGGGCGTCATTCAATGCTTAAGCAGCATATGCTATCACACACTCTCGGCCATCTTGGATCTGGGAAAGGATCGCTCCAATCCCTTTCGCTGAAGCATCGGTATCTAATATGAATAGATCGTTTCCTGGTTTCGGAAAATGGAGTAATGGTGCCGACGTGAGTCTGTCTTTCATTTGCTTGAACGCCTCGTTGCAATCTGCAGACCAATGGAATACTAAATTTTTCTTCAGCAGCTGGACCACCGGGTACGCTAGTTTTGAGAATCTTTCTATAAATCGTCAGTAGGACCCGATTAATCCTAAGAAACTACGAACTTCCGCAACATTGGTAGGCCTTGCCCAGTTTCGTACGGCTTTTACTTTTCCAGGGTCACATTTAATACCCTCTCCAGAGACTATGTGCCCTAGGTAACTGATCTCAGTTTGAAACAGCACGCAATTTTTAGGCTTCGGCTTTAGGTTTGCTTGACGAAATCTAAGAAATACTAATCGAAGATTAGCGAGCGTTGCTTCAAATGTTGTACCAAAAATCACGACGTCATCTAGGTAGCAAAGACACTTTTTCCAGTTTAAATCTTTCAATACTGTCTCCATCAATCTTTCGAATGTTGCAGCTGCATTGGACAATTCGAACGGCATAACATTAAATTCGTATAGACCTTTGTGAGTCACGAACGCCGTTTTGTGTTGATCTTTTTGATCCATCCGGATCTGCCACTGGCCATGTCTAACGTGCAGAACCACTCAGCTCCTGCTAATGTGTCTAATGTATCATCGATTCTTGGTAATGGATATGCGTCTTTCTTTGTGACAGCATTGATACTTCTGAAATCTACGCAAAATCTACAGCTTTCGTCTTTTTTGTCACCAGACAGATCGGTGCAGACCAGCTACTTTCACTGGGTTGTACTACCCCAGCTTTGAGCATCGACTCTAACTCGCGCTCTATAACTTCTTTCCGAGCTAATGGTACCCTACGCGGTGGTACTTTGATTGGCTTTGCTTCCCCCGTATCAATCTTACGTGAAGCTATATCAGTTTTCCCTAACTTGCCTTCAGGTCCTACAAAGATATCCTGAAATTCAGCTACTAGCGAAGTTAATTCCTGACTTTGTCCCTCGGTAAGCTTGCTGGATGCCCCTTTTACCAATAATTTCAAATGTTCTGGTAGTTCAGGTGTTTTGCTCTCTGGCCATTCCCCTTGGTGAACTTGATCTACTATGTCAACCCGGCCTTTCTTTGTGAAAGCTTGGATTTTAACAGGATTTTCTCCTACATTGAGCAGTGACACTATAACCTTGCTTCTCCTGGTATCTACTAAGCTATGGGCTACCAGAATTGGCCACTCTGAACTAAGCTTCCCTTGTGTTACACAGCCCACTTCCCCTCTACAGAGGCATTCTATCCTACCTTCTACAAACTTCTCGGATCTTGGGGGTATGGTGATCTCATCTCTCACACTCACCGAAGCACAACTGTCACCTGAGACAGGTAGCTTATACAGTTTCAACTGCCCTTTTTTAGTGATGAGCTTCTGTTTTGTTACATTCAATAAAGCTTCATTTAGTTCTAGGAAGTCTGTTCCTAATATCCCTGTTAACCCATGTATGTCAGCTACTACAAATGTTTGTACAAACAGCCTGTTGTCAATTTCAATAGCTACTGCTACCTCACCCCGGATATTTAGTTTCTTACCACCAGCAGTGAATAAGGATAACCGTGTGTCGGAGATGTCACTCGGTTGCACCCCTAATCTGTGGTACATTTCTAAGGACATGATAGATACTGATGAACCTGAATCTATTAGCATGTAATAATAGGCCCCATCTATTCTCGTCTTGGCATATAAGCACGACAGGTTTATAGCATTCAGATATACCCTGATGCTATTGTCGTCCATCTTTGACGGATCAAACTCCCCTGTTTGCTCTACTTTCTCCTGACAATTCCCACTTTCATTCTGACCTGCTCCCTGTTTATGTGTTACCTCTGTCCCTTCAGAATGATCCCAGCTCTCCAAATGAAGTGCTGTTGGTTTTTCATCATATGGGGACACCCCTCCTGTTTCATATTTTGGCCCTTTACTTCCCTTTTTGTTTCCTAAAGGGTTCATGTTACCGACCGAACCTATGGCCCTAGACTCAGTCTCTTCTAGTTTAACGACAGTTTGCCATCATTTTCAATGACTTTCCCTGTCCATGGTTTCAAAGAATCCCGGTTTGCCCTATGATCAGCTGATCCACAATTGAAACAGAGTTGCTGTTCTCTGCACCATTGTATCCATAACTGTTTTTGACTCCCATCTTTTTGCACAAATTCATAAAAGGTTTTACACTGCTCTTTCCCTTTCCCAGTTTGAGTTGCCTCCCCTTTATATTTCCCTGTGACTGCACAAATATCCCCTTCCCTAGGCTTTATAGCCTTGGTACTAGTTTTCTCTGTGGCTTCTATCTCTGTAGCGAGTGCTATCGCCCTATCGAGTGTGGTAGGTTTGTTCAGCAGAACATGCTTCTTTAACTTATGATTATTTAGTCCCTCTATGTACTGATCAATAACCTGTGTTTCATAGGTCCTGAAGGGTGAACAAGGGTAGGCTTGTTGTGCTAACTTACGGATGGCATATCCAAAATCTAAAACACTTTCTTCAGCCCCTCGCCTTCTATTTCTGTATTCACATCTATATGCTACCTCTAACTCTCTTGGGTTAAATCGTTGTTCTAGTGAATCTTTCAAGGTCTGATAGTCAGATAACTGGTGAAGGGTTAATGTGGCTAGTAGTTCTTGTGCGGTACCCCTCACACTCATAAACAGTTGGGCTGCTTTTTCCGAATTCACCCAACCATTCCATCTAGATACTTGTTCGAAGTGGGTTATATAACTAACCCAGTCTATACTCTTCCCATCGTATGGCTCAGGGTTTTTCTCTCTTCTTTTAGCTACTGAGGTCACTTGGTTTGGTATATACTTCCTTCCCTTGACCAGGACAAACTCCCCATTATCATGCTCCATACCTCATGTGTATCTCAAAGGTATGTCTCCATTGCAATTATTATGTCTGTTGTGACTATCCGCTATTCTTGCAAATTGCCTGGGTGTACTTTGGTATATGGGTTCCGGCATACTCCGTCTCCTCGAACTCCCAACCATACCCTGATCAAATCCTAGTTCATAGGCTTCTGAACCACTTCTACGACCATCACAACTAAGTTCCCTATAGGGTACATCCTCCCTATTGGTGCCAAACTCAGGGGCTGTTTTCATATTTACATCCCAGTCCCCCTTATATGACTTGCAAGTCATCTTACCCCCCGTACTAGATACATCATGGGGCTCTAGCCTAAGCTCGCCTTTGGTAACCCGACCACTTCTATCCACTCTGGACATTAGTCTGGTGTCATCCCTAGTATCCCTGATATATGAGGTCCTATTGTCGTAACTATGTCCCCTTAAATCTCCCCCTAATGTGGTATATCCACTATCTGTCCATGAATTCCTTATATCCCCGTCCCTCCCATTGGGCCTCATATCCCCTTCCCGACTCCAAACTCTCCCTGTCTTAGACACAAGAGTCGTCTACCGTGGGGTCACATGTTGCTCCCCCCATGCCCCTAGCCGGTAACGATCTATTCCTGCTAACCCAGAGTATCTGGTCGTATCATCCACATGGATTTGTTCATCTGTGATTATATTTAGATTTCCCTGTCTACCTAGGATATTGATCCTGCTGGACCTTTCCAATCCCTCAGAAAAAATTGTTGTATCACCTCTTATCTGATTATCCTCATCAGAGTCCATAAACACCTCATTTTGGGGAAATGTGATATTTCTATCACTGGGCCTATCTAAATCAGAAAATAAATCATCACCAGAAAATGTGACGTGCTTGCCACTATTCCCGGAGATTCCCTCTCTCATCAACCTTGTATCAGGATCATAGGTAGAGTTATCCATACCACTGAAACTTCCTGTTCGTCTCCTCTTCGCACCGCCAAGTTCTGATTATCTAAGACTCTGCAGGGGACAAGAAAAAAAATAACTGAAAGCACTTTGCCCTTCGTGGACTATACTGGCATATACCTGATTTGAATATTTATTGCATAACTTTCTAATAAAAATGAGTATTTTCCATTTTGTTTTCATTATTTCATATTTTTGATTTCTCTATCTCGTCACTACCTGATCCTGGTCACGGCCCCAAATGTAGTAGAAGGGGGATTTCTGTCGAATAGGTGTCAATCCCGGATATAGTGGGTATGATAATGTACTTCGCGTTGTGTTTAATTCTGTGATCTAATATGCCAGACACCTATTCCTCATTATCCCTCTTCCACCGTGTTCTTTTCTCATCAGGCGGGAGATTAGAGAAATGAAAACCAGAGTCAGAAATAACAGTTCCAGTACTTAATAACAATATCAAATATCAACAGTGTTAATAATAATAACCATTGTAAATGTTGTTGCCATTGTAGAATATGGACAATAAGGAATATCAAAAAAAATAAGTGTACATATTAATGGAATGGTTTTGTAAGGGTAAACCTGATAACCTTTCTAGATAAATATCATAACTCCTGTATCACAACCTATTTATACCCACCCTTTACATTAATAGCCAAACTAATAGTTACATCCTAACTTCTATACACTTCCAAGCCAAGTTCCTATATTTCCCCTAAAGCCAATAAAACTACCAACTAGGCATTGTGAGACCTCCATCTCTAATGCTAAACGGTCTATTACAGACTTAACAGGGAGAAATATATGAACTGTCCTCTGTTCTGTGTCAGTTTCATTGTTGTGTTTCTCCACACTAACCCTACATTATATATATATACACAAATCAGCTGTTCTACACCCTGGCTTTCAAGCCATGAAGCACTGCTAATGCCCGTGCGGCATGCTCAACCTAACATGTGGTAACTCTACCCATGGACCTATACCGGGTCTCTCAGGTCATCCGACCCTAATTACAAACGTGGCAGTTAACCCATCCTTACCTGGACATGGTTTTTGTCAGGCAAGCTGTCCAGCTCTGTCTGCCCCGAGTACGTGAAAACACCGGCTTATATATCCCACGGACAGATCTCATTGGCACCTCACTCTGAACCCAGCCAATGAAAATACGCGAACTATAAATTTACATCACTACAGCATGTTCCAATATGGCTGCCTACGAGCGAAAATACGACCTACAAAACGACAGAAGTGCTATATCTACCCTATAACAGCTCAAGTTATCATATAATTTGCTCTTATCAACTCTACAGCTGGTATTTATAACAAAAACCCGTATTATAGCTATCCTTATGTCATTTATACTTAAAACTAGCTACTCGATATATCTAGTCACTAACCCGTCTCGCCTACACTTTAATTTCTGCTGTTTATTTACCGTATTACTCTTTACGTTTAGATGATTTAGTTTTCAGTGTAGTTATAACCTAGCTAGTCTCATGTTAACGTGATGCTGCGTCACAAATGAAGCCTCCGGCCTGTACGCCGTATGGCCACGGTAGCGAAGTGAGAAATCCCGACGTTCCACTGTGTGATCAGGCGACACATTTTTGGACGAGGCCAGGAATAATCTGCTAATTGAAACAAATGGGATCTCTTTATAGTTTCTCTGTCATCTACTCTGTCGCTTCGCTGGTGTCTGTAAGTGGTGGGGTGATGACTTAGAGTCTTGTGTCGATGGTTTGACACGTCAGTGAAGTGGTATTATGGATGTATCATGTGAGGCCCTGTTAGCAGTGAAAACCGTTATTATTTGACACAAATACATAAATTATCACAGCAACACATCCCCATATATATCAAAAAGCTTTTTACTAGAACGTAAGTTAAAAGGGAAAATCTTGATTCATGATATTATTTAGAACTTTAAATGAGTTACATACTCACGGGTTAATATAGCTTTTAATAAACACAGATTCCGTTCGGAACAATGTCATAAATAGGGGATTACGACAGAAATTAAAACAAAAGAAGAGTTATTAAGTACGTAAATTCCTGTATATATCATGTTTATGATAATAAGTTGGTTCTTTTGTATCAGTCCCTACTATTAATTTTACCAAAAATATGCGTTTTTTGTAACATTCTGAGTTATGAAGGTTTTAAAGATAACTGCAACAAGACGTCATCTCGTTGTAAGATTATTTCTAACCCCATACTCCATAAATGTTTCATAAGCCATCAAAGCCGAAGTGTCAAACTGAGTCCCCTTACTGTGTTGATCATTTCCGCCATAGCACACAGATTTGATGTGTTCAACAACACTCATTACTTATGACAGTTAAAATAAAGTTAATCAGGAAGATAGGTGAAAGGTAAATTGAATAGATTTAATTTAATCATTTATTCTCAAAGTGACACAGCTGTCACCATATTAGCACCCATGAGGCTTTTCAGTGATGTGAACAGCTCTCCATTTTGACAATATAATCCAAATATTAAAGGTAGAATTATTGTATTTTTCCGCGCTTTGTGAATACACCTTCAGACAGAATCGGTGACAGTAACATACCCACGTTGACATTCTCCGGTGTTTACATGTCACATTTGATTTGATTTGAATTTAGGCTTTGCTTGGAATATCACAATTTGTGTGATAGATGTCGTAGATAGATGGACAAAACACAGGATTCCAAGAGATGCACAACGATTAAGTATATGGTCAAGTTTAATGATAATAATCATGATGGCATACGAAATGTTATTTTTCCTTTAACGATATGAAGGTCGATGCATTTTTAGCTCACCTGGCCCGAAGACCATCGTCCGGCGTCAACTTTTTACTTTAAACAACTTCTTCTCAGTAACCAAAAGGCCTAGGGTTATGATATTTGGCCAGAAACATGCTAGGATAGAGGGCTAATAAGATTTTTCAAATAAATGACCTTCATTAATTTTGAAGGTCACAGGGGTCAAGCAACTTCTGAATAACAAAGAGGCCTAGGATAATGATAGTTGGCCAGTAACATGCTGGAATGAAGGGCTACCAAGTTTGTTCAAATGAATGACCTTGAATCATATTCAAGGTCACATGGGTCAAATATGTATGAAACCTTTAAACAACTTCTTCTATATAAACCAAGAGGCCTAGGATAATGA